GCGTATCTCGATCTAACAATTTAAAGTCTTGATCATCATCGCAGTATACCCTAACCGGGTCGAAGCGATGTGAAATAACGACAAAAAAAAAAAACTCCCAACGTTGCACTGGAATGCTGCACTCAAAACGATCAAAATTTGTCGGTTTCCCCGTCGCGACCCTCCCCTCCCGTTCGCCCTGCCTACATTGTTTCCGTCTGAAGTTCAACCCGCGATCCGAGCGAAATCGTAAATCTGATTAAAATAAGTCACTCAAGGGTGGGAGTGAGTGACACAGTCGGAACACGATATTTGATACGCACCGTGTGTACTCACTTGCCCGGGGGGGGGCTTTTGACGTTTGAAAGCCTCACCGGCTCGTACTAGTCTTCGGCCGCTAACACCGTAGTAGTCTGTTGTAAATGAACTACTCGTGCAGTATCACGTCGGCACGCGACTAATTCACAACTTTAGTATCGTTAGAAATCGTTATTACCGCCGCGTTGTCATTAGAGTAATTTAAATTTTCAGTGCTTTTTAGCGCGAGGCAGTCACTCCCCGCTGCCCACGTTTTTTTTGACTATTCTCTGCGAGTGCGACGGAAGATCTCGCGTTTCGTGATATATCATCGCCCTGTGATTCTGCGAAGACGAGGAAGTGCTCTGATGGCGTGTCTGTGTGGTGATGGGGATTACTCAAATGTATCATCGAATGTCGTTGATCGATCATGAATGCAGTGAATGATGAACGAGTACGCTGTTCTGGTGCCAACGGAAGTACAGAGCTCTCGGGTATCTCACAGAGACTCAGGTGCTGTGAGGATAACACTTCCGTTGACCTCTTTTAGGAGACACAGTGGTTGTGTATCGACACTCACTAGGGCCAAAACACATCCGAGATTACTCTACGTCGCTGTTCCGTAAGTCTCTTTGAGCTACGATAAGGCGAGAATGGCTCGGGGACATTTAGCGACTTTCTTTTAATTGGCGAGATTTTTTTTTGGGTTTGAAGAGAGAACTTGAGTCGACCAAATCGCGGCGATGGCTCGGGAGATATTGACGAGTGAAGACGCCCAGGCTGTTTTTTTTTTTTTTTTTTTTTTTAAAAAAAAAAACCCCCCCCCCCCCCCCGGAAGTGGATTTCCATGGAAAAAAAATGATTCCATTTTATTCAAAATTGAATGAGCTGTTACCATTTTTGAAAAGATCAAAAGGGGCAGCTTTACCCCACTCTCCCTTGTGTATATTTAAAATAATTTATTTGGTTTTAGTAAAGTTGATTTAATTTAAATGAACTATCTTTCCGCGTATGTTGAGGAAAATTGGGCACGGATTTTTATAGGGAAACGGGAATCCCCGAGGATTCATTCCAGGAAAGTTTGTTTTAAAATGATTGGGTGCTATCAAAGGGAAGCCACAAGGGGTCAATGCAATGTTTCATTTTATATTTGGGAAATCATATGGAGGATGAAAGAAAGGGCGTCACTTTGAGGATATCCAAGTACTTGGGCTATTTTTTTTGCTTCCGAATGGAAGCTTTGTAATCTTTCAAATTTAGGTTTTGAATTTTTTGGGTTATATCGACCCAGTATGATCCAAAATATCTGAAAATACAATCTTTAGAGTTGGTGCGTGTGTGTATGTGTGTACGTGTGTAACAAAGTTTTTCTTCAATTCAGAAGCGAAGTGGTAAACCGGGTTAAATCGATTTCGACTATTGACCAGTTTTTGACGAATATCTCGGAATCTGAGAGAGATAGAAAAATTTTTGTTATGACCTTTTTTGTAGACCCAATTGAGAGTTATAAAAAAGGTCATGAGAAAAATTTTGCTATCTCTCTTAGATTCCGAGATATTCATCAAAAATTGGCCAAAAGTCAAAATCGACTCGACCCGGTTTACTAATGAATGGATAGAATTGAATTTTTTTTTCGATCGCCATTAATCGAAACTTCAAATGAATTCAATAGCGAAGTGGTAAAACGGTACAAGTCAATTTTGTCTGTCGACCAGTTTTCAATGAATATCTCGGAATCCAAGGGGGATAGCAAAATTGTTATTATAACCTTTTTTGTAGAGCCGGTTGATTGCTACAATAAATGTAATTACGACAATTTTGCTATCTTCCTTAGATTCCGAGATATTCATTGAAAACCGGCCAATAGTCAAAATTGACTTGTACCGTTTTACCACTTCGCTACTGACTGAACAATCAATTATTCACATTCAGAATTGTTTCCGAAATCAGTTTCATGCCTAAAAAAGCAGTGTTATCAAACTGTGAAAGATACTGGATATCCCCAACGTTTGCTGATGTAGGAAAGTGTGTTGAGGAAAATGACGAGTGGATTTTTGTAGAAAAACCAGAATCTCCGACGATTAATTCGAGGAATGTCCGTTTCACAACCAGTGCTAAACAGAAGCCACAGCAAGTCACTCCAATATTTTACTCTCCACTTGAGCAATCATACGGAGAGAGAGAGAGAGAGAGAGAGGAAAAAAGGGCGTCTCGGTGATTTAATAGGGCTTGACGCCACCGGGAGCTGACGTTCGTGTCTCGATCATCATGTCAGAAATGGTTACACAATAATAATACGTAAAGATATTGTGTTCCACCGAAGCGTGGAACAGGCATCAGTAATTTATTGAAGGGGAACCTCGTTCCCCTCTAGACAGACTAGTTTTTTTCCACGCTCTTTATTTTCTTGTCCTTAATTACGATAATGGGAGGTGGACTCTGTCGTTGTAGCTCCGGGATTTCTCTTCTGTTAGACCGAGTTTGTGTTTGACTAGGCTCTTGGCGTTATTAGAGTACCTACACATTTCCGCGGTGTACATGAGCTGAGGCACGTTCAGTTTTACGAGGCTCAAGCACGCTGATCCAAAATCTGGGTAAATATTTGTTTCTTCTGCATCGTAAATCATTGGTTGGAGGAAATTCCGGTGTTTTAGGATTCCGTATTTTTTCTTCCGTGGAGATTCCTGGAAGTAACGGTCTGAGGACTATTGAATGTGGTCAATAGTTCATTTTATTTGTTGAAATATTACGAGCAAATCAGCAGTGAAGCGGTAAAACGATTTAAAGTAGCTCTACCCTTACGGTAAATTCAAGTTATTATTTTAATTCGTCAAATTTCTTCAGAAAGTTGAAACAACTTCAATCATTTCTTCATAAACGACGAATGTTTAAAAATATAATTCTGTGCAAAATGTAATTTTACGAACGCTGAATATTCATGATTTTGTCAAATTTTTCTCACGCATTTTAATTAACGAAATTAACACGCGATTTAAATTTGAAAAAAAATTGTTGACATTTGCGAAAAGAAACGTAATTTATTATTTACTGCATTTAATTCTTATTGAAATGTTTGTTGTCATTTTTTGCATTATTTATTCATGTCTACGTCCCAATTATTGTCATTGATGAAGCAATTTTGTTTTGGGGAATAAATTGACTGTTGAATCGAGCGGTCTCGATGGAGAAGCAGGAGTAAAGTTGACATTGTGAATTTGTTGATCAGTAGAACTGAATGGCAATTAACGAGAAAGAGAGTAGTCGTGATCGAGTACAGGCGAGGGGCTATTTAATCGCTTGAATGACAAGAGAGACTCTTCTCGGATGCTACTACAAAATGACTAAGGCTTGCGTAACCGCAATCATTGCCGCGTATGTGCGGAGCTATATGAGTCTGTTGATTGTTAGCCGGAAGGAGCAATGCTGCGAAGCGCAGTTGTGCAGATAAATCCCTCCATTCGGTCGGAATTTTAGGAAAAGGGTGCACTCTGAGGATTATTTTCCATTCTCTGCTGCACTGATAGAGAACATTATTTCTATTGAGACGTTTCTTTCATGGAACAAGCATTACATTAAACTAATGAACTAATTGTAAATAAATGAGGTCTTACGGTGAATATTAATTATTTCTTCTTGAGATACATTTACTTGAATCAAATAAAACAGTCTTTGGAGTTAAGTCACATGTATTCACCACAAAAATAGAAAAGTTCTATTTTTTTAAACCTAATGTAATCTCCAGTCGAGAAATTTTCTACTTTCATGAATTGATAAAAAATTCGTACCTAGGAGATGAGTGCATTGAGGAATGAATTGAATGTTGTTTTCTCGAATGAAGCCGATGTTTAAATTGAGCTTTCCGCACTGGTAGAACGGATTAGTTATTGTTAACGAATGGATTTTGGTTGAAGGTTAGGGTCTATTCGGTCCCACCAAATGTTCATTCGTTAATTGTTAACGAATCTCATTTGGAATAAATGAATCATTCTATCAGTGCGTACATCACATTAAACGAAATTTGTGATATCCAAGTTTGTGTTGAATTGCCGTAATCTGTGATTCTGTTATTGTAAACTATTGCGATTTTTTTTAGTCAAAAAATATAAACTTCTTTCAACTCAACGACAGCTTACTACAATCTCAAAGCTTTTTCCGCGCAACAATATTCATCCTGATTCGACATACGAAATGCTCACTTCAATTATTATAATTTACTTGGAACAACGTATGGTCGTGTTGATTGAGATAACAACGTATTTAGTCATGAGAATAATTTTGATTCAAGTAAATCAACGAATTTCTGGAGATAGCAAACTTTTGGCTGGAAAAAGATCAAATACTCTCATTATTCCGACAAATAAACGGAACTTCAATTCTAGAGAAGTTGGATTTCTCCCAATCAAATGTATCTCGCGAGGATATAACTGGTATTCGCTGTGAAATCATGTTTATTTGAAAATTAACAACCGAATGGTATAGATGAATAAAAAATATTTCATGTCCATCTACTCTACCATATCGTCGTTGTTATTCTCTTTGAAAATTATTCTCCTGTGTGTGAGTATTGAATTGACGAAATGACAAAAACAATCTTGTCAAATTATTTATTCATATATTAAAAAACTAGCAAAATAGAAATGCAAATGCTGAAAAATAGAGATGCTTAAAAAATTATTAATCAATCATTTCTGATTCTATACTGATTTGAAAAATCTCTTTTTTAGTTTCGATGTTGAGAATGGAGGAGCCCTGGAAGGCGGCACCAGCGGTGGCGGTGGCGCGTCACCGAGTGCCGGTCTTGTATTACAAACATTGCCACAAAGGAGAGAAAGCTTTCTCTACAGAAGCGACAGTGACTTTGAAATGTCACCCAAGTCCATGTCAAGGAACAGCTCAATTGCCAGTGAAAGGTAACAGACCCGTTTATATCAAGCATGTCGATACAATTGAACTTGTGTCATTAATGTATTCACCACCTACTGACAGTCGTAACATTCGGACGACACCGGATGTTTTTTCTTCCGACGTAGGCCTAATCACTATCGATTCATTGAGCCTCAAGACCCACAAGCGCATTATAGGGTGCGACAATGTCGAGAAAAATTGAAATTAGACTACACGGAGAGAAATTTTCTAGAAAAAGTCTAGAACGAGCACTGGAAAAAATTACAATGCAAGGCTGTGAAAAATTCTAGTGCTGTTACGGTAAAATTTCTGGGCATTTCTGTGAAATTTTCACAGAAATTTGGGGAACACTGGAATTTCTTCCTGGCCGTCACTTTGCGCCTCTTCTCTTGTGCTAGCAGTATAATTTTTCTAAAAAATTTCTCTCCGTGTAATAATTTCACTGAAGTATACACCGAAAAAACATTACATTATATTCTGTGATTTTTTTTGCTAAAAAAGCATTCTGACGGTTTCAACGTCAGTTAATTTAACTGACGCTGACAGACGTGATGGACAGCGCTGTCAGAAAAATAGTGAAATTTCATGAAGAGTCAATTAGTAATTATCAAGAGAGCCACAGTATATTTGATTGGGGAGGGAAAAATGATGAAAATTCAAATTTGGCTGCAATGTTGGAAAAAAATGGAATGTGTGACAGTGAATTGAATTTAGGGGGATGAAAATCGTGGAATGCCAGATTACCCTGATAATTCAGTGCCATTCCAATCGAAATGGGAATTTTCAATCAATTGGAAATTTAAGAATGTATTCCCCTGAATTTCCTTGGTTTCTGTTGATTTTAATGGAATAAAATCGGGAAAAAAATCATGAAATTTCAGATTTCACGGAAAAATCAATGAAATTCCGAATTTGAAAACATGAATATTCAGAAATTTTTTAACCTTCACTTTTTGACCCTTATATTCTGACACTTAGTGCCTGGCCCTCATGTTCCACTTGAGAAGACTTGCTACAACCCGGTCTAATACAAAAGAATACTCTTCGAATACCCATCCCCCGATTGGGTATAAAATATACTTGAATCAATTCAGATATTTTTTTTTCGTGAAATCATCTACTAATTTTCATGAATTTTTCAATTCTAATTGTAATTAATGTCAAAATTCCTTGAAATTTCAGCAAAAAATATTTTTAACAATGAATCCTGAACAATCACTATATTATCAATTACGTCCAAAATCGCGATCTGAAAACGTCAGAATGAAAATTCACTATTCAGCCCCACGATATAATTTTTCACGTCACATTTTTTTCGTGTATACCATATAAATCCCCTAGAAACAAAAAATGTTCTCAGATATATTGGAGATCTCTAATCGAGGACGTCTGTAGCACTTCGCTGCGAGTTCCCAACAACATTTACTCGCCACGTCGCTTGATTACTTTATTTTTGTACATAATTGTTTTCTGCTTCGTTTTATTTTAGGGAATGACGAGGAAAATACGCGGAAATTCTCACAATTGATTTATTTTTATTTTATTTATTCAATTTAATCTCCCATGTTATCGGGTCATCACGAAATGTCAGGAGATACCACTAATTCTCCGAAATTTTATCGTTTCGGAGAATATTTCGAGGATAATGAGGTGTAATTAACTTCGTAATCAGTCAATAACATTGTTTCAAATTTATCGAGTACAATTTTTACAGCATCTGCCATCGGATCAATTCATCTGGATTTTTTTTATCTCTTTATTCCGCGATAAAAAAATCTCTCAATCAAAAACGATTAGATGTCCGTGATTATGTCAATGTGGCTTCTGTGGCGAAGATGTGTATCGAGACATGAAGCTATTCCAATCACCTACGCAGAGAGAATATAAAATTCAAAATTACTATGCAAACATAGAAGTCAAGGTCTCTACCAGGAAAAACTGGAATTGTAATTTTTAACGGACAAAACAGCATCAAATGCACAGACGAAAAAATAATTTTCAAAAGTGTTGGAAAGACTTTAGTTTTTTACCGATTTTTACTATTGAACGACGAGAAATTACTCGAATCGTATGAATTTTTACCATGTTAAATTGTCATTTTTTCTTACGATTTGAAACTTTAGTTTATACTCTCGCCCCTCCTACATTTTACTCGAGGAAATAGCAGAAATTACTATGTTGTCTTGTAAAAACTCCAGCGGACGACGGGAGCGTCGATTATTTTCAATTCTTGGAATCTCCCTCCGTCGACCACCTAATGGCGCGGGTGGGGGATTCTATAATTCTAGAAAATTCAATTCCTCTCCCCCCTCCTCTCTTTCAACATGAATATACGCGGAGCAAAATTACTAATTATAATTTTCAAGGATGATAAAGGAGATTAAAAATGGTTTTTCACTTCGGCTATTCAAAAAATCTCCCTCTCATTTCTAAAATTCATGTTTATTCTCCTAAATTTTACTCGTGTCAACTGAAAATTGACCATTTATGCTACCATTTTCAACTATACCGTCAACAGTAATTTTTCCAACAGACCCCATTACATTTTTATTTTATCAGCCCTATTTTTCATCCAGCACGTCGTACTTTTCATTTGTTCTCAAAATAACGACGTTAAATAGTAAATTTTCGAGTGTCGCGGCAGTGCCCCTGCATTTTACTTTTCATATTAACAATTACTATGTTCCCACAGTGAAAAATAATTTTATATTCTTTCCGTGTACGAATTCTCCGAAACATTACAGTCCACAAATCGTTATCGCTTAGAAAAAAATCAACTCTCTCATAACTCTCATGCTTCTTCACACTCTCTCTCTCTCTCGTACCAAATTCTTTAAAGTGTCTGGTCCTTCGGTTACAGGTTCAAAGAGACTGAGCCGCCAATCGAGCGCGCGTATGTAATCGATATTTTATTACCTTAGATTTTTCTTTTACTCTCCACAAATAATAGATGAAAAATGAGTTTTTTTTCTGTCCTGTCAGAATAATTATTGAAATACGCTTTGACCTCACGTAGCGCAGCTTTACTCGATATTTTATTTTTCCTCTCACTCCGGGGAAACCACAGCGTTAGCCATATTGTGTTTCAAATGAAAATATTAGCGCTTTATCACGAATATTTGCTTCAGAAGGCGGAATGATTTTTTAATTTTGGCTCTGCACTTGGTGGCTTCACCCTCACTCCAGTATTATTCTGCATTACTTCTGTTTATTTACCCCCAAGAGAGTTTCTTACATCCGAGAAAGCTATTTTCTCACTTCGATTTAATTCCTATTTGTTTTCCCGCTCGTCTACTGCATGACGACCTGAATCGTACTAGGAATGAAAACAATTCTGAGCGCACCAATTTTTAAATATCCGGTCGCTCTATTGTTTCACGTAGACATCACAATTCTCGATATATCACAGCGCCAGTATTCGCTGCACTCACTGATGCATGAAAGCTCCCACTAATTGGAGTATTTCTCGTGTTTTCCCCTGAATTGTCGTTTTTTCAAACCTTTATATGGCTTAAGGGGAAACTCCGATGATATTTGAAAGTTGCCGGGGGTTGTAACACCCCACAATACAGATGACTTTGGGACTTATTTTTTGTACTAAACATATGAGAAAAATCAACACCCAAAAAAATCGTTCTTAATCAAACCGAAAAATTGGTTTGAATCAAGTTGGACTGAATCATACCGTGATTCGACTTATTTCATGTCGGATCGTCGGCATGAATCAAGTCTGACTCGGACAGATGCAAACCGGCACATCGGTCAGATTCAAGTCAATTTTGCGGCTTGATTCAAGTCGATTTTTCAGCTTAATACAAGTTGATTTCGGCTTGACCCGTTTCTCCTTGAAATAATTCACTTTTCTGCTTCTACCAGGTCTGAAATTCGGATTAATGGAGTCTAAGTCATTCGACTTGAATCAAGCCGAAAAGTCGGCTCGAATCAAGTCGAATAATCGACGTGAATCAAACCGAAAAATCGATATGAATCAAACCGAAAAATTGACTTGAATCAAGCTGAATAATCGACTTGGTTAACGCCGATTTCGGCTTGACATATTTCTTCTTGAAATAATCGACCTTTGTGCTTCATCAGGTCCGAAATTCGGATTGATGAAGCCTGAGTCACTCAACGAAGGAAATAAATCGAAAATCGATTTGAATCAAGTCGACGTCGACTTGAATCAGTATGTTTTTTTTGGGTCAAGTTTCAATTTCTTCCAGTGACGGCATGTGCCTGCATAGACATAAAACCTGTAAAATAGTCCCCTTACCAAGATTTTTGATGAAATGACTTAAATATTGAAAACTCTATTTTTTTTCATTTTTTAAGTATAAAAAGTGAGTAATAAAATCATCAGCATAGTAGGGACAATCTTCTGCATCTTCCAAATTTCACTGCCGTCTCCCTTAACACTCCTTATTTGCTGATAGAAAGTTGGGGATTTCAGACTTATTATGAAGGTTTTGCTATTTAATCAGTCCCATCGGAATTTCCATCTTCGTATCAATTTTTTACTATTATTTTTTTTACTAAGAAGAATCTTCATTCAGTTGGAATTTCACATGATTTTTTTCTTATTGAATGCAAAAATTGAATGAAAAGTATTGGAAATACTCAATATTTGCATAATTTTTTTTATCAAATAACTATATCGAAGTTCAATAAAAAATCATACGATTTTTATTTTGAAAATTAGAATTATGAAGTCCAACTAAGATTTCTCTTGAACAAACGATGCGATTTGAACGAGTTAGGTCTCATTGTCAAGCTTGAAAAAATATCTTCAAAATAAAAAAAAAAAATTTCTTTTGAAATTTTAAAAAAAAGTTTTGGATGAAAAAAAACAGGAAAAAAACGTCTAACGTTTTTGATCCAATTCTCGTGTCTAATAATGAAAAAATCATGGGGACCCCAATTGCGTGTTGCATCATCTTTTTTCATCGTAAACTCGACGAAATATCGGTTCGATCGTAAAGATGATAAACCCACAATCATCTCTAATCACTTTGTATCGATAAAACTATGATAAAAACATTTGCGTAGTTGTTTCGTATTTTAAAGTCCAACGGATTTATTTTACGAATCTCAGAGATGGAAATTCATGAGTTTATGTCACTGAATCGAGTTTGAATATGACATTGGAGGTACAATTGAAATAAAAAATCATTTCATTTTCAGGATATTTTCCGATCAGTACAGGTAAGTCGCTTAATCCATGTTAAATCACTTGACTACGATGCACTGTCGTTAAACCCCACGGTAAAATATACAGAATGAGGAGCTGTTAAATTTTGATACACGCGGAATAGGGGGAGGTGAAAATAAACTCGATCAAGTAGCCAAAAGTAAATCTACAATTCTCACATCTGCCGGCTCACAAGGCGGTTCTGGATGCGGGCCAATTTTCTTGGAGAAAAAAAAATATGGAGAATAAGTCAATATTACCGGGGGGGATTGGAAATAACGTGTTGGTTGATGAGATAACATCTGCACTTGGAGATCTGACCTGGCGATAGAGCTGACCCTGGCACTAGCGCAACAAAAGCTCGGGTGAAATGGCGGATAGGAGTGAAAAAGTTTATTGAAAAAAACCAATTTACGGAAAATGCAGTGCAGATGGAGAGGAAAAATGCTCGATAACTGGGGGAGGAAGTGAGGATGTGCCTCGTATAGAAGTTTTCAGTTGGGGACAAAAATTTTAAAGGGTGGGTTGAAGGGGTGGAATTCTATAGGGTGTGAAATTTCTCACATTTTTTACGTTCGCTGCTCTTGAGGTCATGCGTCTTTATTTTTTTCCTAATTAAATTAACGATTGAAGTGGATTAAAAAGAGGTACGTCTCAAGAGTTTATATTCCAATTAAGAAGATGAAGATTATATGATATTCCAAGTGAAATAACAATTTTTTAGTGAATAATGATTTTTTGTAAAATTATATTGAAGCGGTCAAGTCCTAATTTTTTGACAGATTTTTGGAACTTGGGGGAAGAATTCTTAATTAAATTAACGATTGAGGTGGATTAAAAAGGGATATATCTCAAGAGTTTTTACATTTTAATGCAGATCGTTAAAAAGCTGTATAAACCTTAAGGTTTCGTGCTAATAAAAAAAAAGATCGATAGAATGCGAAGATTATGATATTCCAAGTAACATAACAATTTGTTAGTTAATAGAGATTATCATTTTTTGTAAAATGATATTGAAGCGATCATCTAAATTTTTTAGAGAAGTTTAACTCAACAATTCTAAGTGGTAGCAAAAGTTTCAGATTTTCAATCCAACATTTAGGCGTATTATTTATTTATTCTAAGCTTCCGATAATGCGGATATCGCAAGCGTGTGTCAATAACACGCGTTGATTCTTCAAGATCGAAGAGACAAAATTTACCATAGTCTCGGGGATTGAGCTTGAATATTTTATTGCCGAATAGACGCCCGCAAGAATACACGTTAGAGAGCCTGATCTGCGCAATCGCACAAGCTAGAGTCACCGGACATCCCATAAGCCCATATAAGGGGTTTAGAACATTAGAACCAAAAATGGGCAATACCTCGAAAATTTTCAATGCAGAGACTCACATCTTGCTTCAACTAGATAAAAGATATCGCGACGAGTATTTTGGCGAATCAAATTGAAAGCGAGTCAGTAGTTTTTGAGATATTAAGCAGAATAATTTCAAACACATCATGAAGCCTAAAATTCTCATGCGCTCGCCTGATTCCACCGAAAAAAAATACCACTAACATTAAACATTCCCCGACAAACCCTCATATTTTAATTCGAAAGAGATGAAATGAATCGCCTGCATTTCCAGAACCATCATTTCTTCATTTCCAAACACAAAGAAATCAAAATATCGCAAAAGATCAGCATGTATTTTCGTAAAAATACCCAGAATCAATTCGTAATTCCTCTCATCAAAACAAAAAAAACAAAAAAACCTCCAACCGGCATCAGCACAAGTTATAAATACCCGGAGCGTAAAAAACAAAGCTCGAAGCCTTGAGATACCTCTGCCCAGAAATCTCCAATTAATTCAGTAATTGCATACCAATAAGGCAAAAAGAATAACACAAGACAGACCGATCAATCAATCTGAGTGTGTTCCACCCACGTTGCAGCAAGGAAAGGCCAGGGCAACCTGAAACCGACGCTCACCGAAACTCCCCGAGCGCCGACGGATACACCCGATTTTCGGCTTGTATTCATTCCACGACGCGCACATTTCCCGCGCAAATCACGACTGCCCGTACACATGTACAAACCTGAGTGCCTCTGGTTATTCCCCACTACCTCGGTGAAATACGTCGACCAACACAGTTGTACTTATAATCGACGAATCCCCACGCGAAAACCAGAGAAGAGAGACCCCGGCCAGTTCGACATCGTGGTGAACAGATAGTGACGATGAAGCAGTATCATTATCATTTGAATTTCATCGGATGTCAAGCACTCCTTATCCGTTACATTTGTCAAATGATAATCAATAAATTTAACGCGATCTATTCGGCATCAATAACGTCGTATTATCAATCGCTGCCCATGTCCAACTGAATCGCCTGCAAATCAGTCCTTGAGGAAAAACTTTAAATATTGACAAAATGAATGTCCGAAAAAAAAACTGCGCAGTTTTAAATGCCTCCTCATTTCAATGACGGGGGGATTTTTAGTGACACGAAAGATTCAAGTGAGTGAAACAGTTATCCAGGAAGTACTTTCGGGGTATCACGATGCTGATACGAAGATTGGCAGGGGTACTAGGTCACATCGCGGTGGCTCGTTAAAAGCAACCACGGTTGTCTCCTAACTAGCGTAACGATTTCTATCCTCAAAACTACTTCTAAATATACATCTCTCAAACTGTTGGTAACGTGACAAAAGGGAGGTTGAGGATGAGAGGGGCTTGGTGGAGAGTGCAAGGGTAATTAAACAGAAATAGTTGTGAGGCGACATCTCAAAATTGACAGGAATTCAAGGAAAAAATCCCTCGGAAGATCTATTAAATCGGATTAATCAGTAAAAAAGACGAATAAATGAACTGGGGAATTAATTAGATGACCTGACGTTAAATCATTAAGTAAAAATAATATTTCTCAATTCAATATTGACAGAAATTTAATGAAAAAATCCCTTTAAAAAACAATTAAATCGGATTGAAGAGTCAAAAATACAAATGATTCAATTATTGATGAATATCATTGTCACGAACCGGGGAATTAACGTGGGCGATGAGTTATGACTGAATTGTTAAGTGAAGTGACATTAAATCATTGAGTAAAAATGATCGATTCGAATGTAAATATCTATGGGGCATGAGTTATTGGTAACGTGACGAAAGAACGGTTGAGGATGAGAGGGGCTTGGTGGCCAGTGCAAGGGTAATTAAACAGAAATAGTTGTGAGACAACATCTCAAAATTGACAGGAATTCAAGAAAAAAATCCCTCGGAAGATCTATTAAATAGGATTAATCAGTAAAAAAGACGAATAAATGAACTTGGGAATTAATTATATGACCTGATGTTAAATCATTGAGTAAATAATATTTCTTAATTCAACAGAAAGAATTCTGAGACGACATTTGACAGGAATTTAATTTAAAAAATCCCCTTAAAAGATCAATTAAATCGGATTAATCAGTAAAAAGATACGAATAAAAAACAAATTGAATCAATTCTCGATGAGTATCATAATTATGAAGCGAGGAATTAACGCAGGCGATGAGTTGACTGAATTATTCCATTTCACCGTATACCTTTCGGTCTTTACGGTTTCCCATTCCTTCGTCCCTTTTTTTACCGCATATTTGTTCTTCTCAAGGCTCCTTCTAGCTCCGAATAACGTTTCCTTCCTGAGGTGTTCCCCGCGCGGCCACCCATCCATCTAGTGACCACCCTCAGCGCTTCTTAGCCTCCCAAAGCCAAGCCTGCCCACCACCCGAATGCGTTAGCCCCGTACGGCTATGACTGAATTATTACACGACGTTAAATCATTGAATAAATAATATTTCTGGGGTACAAACTGTTGGTAACGCGACAAAAAGGAGGCTGAGCAAGAGAGAATTTGGTGGAGAGATGTTGGTACGAGGGCAATTAAACAGAAATAATTCTGAGACAGCTCAAAATCACCAGGAAATGAATAAAAAATCCCCTCAAAACACCAATTAAAAAACCGCGAATTAATTTGCAAAAAAAAGACGAATAAAATACAAATTGATTCAATTCAATAGTGAAGCGGTTCAAGTTGATTTCGCCTATTGGTCAGTCCTCGATGAATATCTCGGAACCTAAGAGAGATAGCGAAATATTTCTAATGACCTTTTTTGTAGCCCTCAACAACCTCTACGAAAAAGGTTATAACAAAAATACTGCTATCTGCCTTAGATTCCGAGATATTCATTCCAAATTGAATCGTTTTAGCGCTTCGCTACTGTATTATTGTTGAATATCTCCATCTGTTTGAATATCATCGTCATGAACCGGGGAATTAACGCAGACGACGAATTATGACTGCATTATTTAATGAAGTGACGTTAAATCATTGAGGAAAAATCATCGATTTCAGTGTAAATACCTTTGGGACATGTGACAAGCGCTATTTATGTGTAAACGTGTTAAGGGAATAAGGCAGTACGATGTCAGACAGCAGTGGTGGCTTGGACGAATTAGCTGTGGTTAGGACGGGACTCAAGAGGTGCGGTGGTGGCATGAGCTCACCATCTCTCGCGGCTACCGACGATGCGGCCGAGGCTAGTGTCGTTGGTATCGCTGAGGGCGCTACGGGCTTACCTCGGACGCATTCCATGTCGGCATTGAGGTCTAAACCGACCAGGCGGGCGGTTTTCTGGGAGCCACAGTGCTTTGAATCGCCAACCAAACGGGATTAGTAAGTTTAATTACGAAAAGACTGGGCTTTCGTTTGATGTTCGGGGGGAGGGCGGGGTAATTGGCAATTAATCGGACGCTAATTGGCAGTTGATCGAGTTTATTTGGGGGAGTGGACAAATACGGGAATATCCAGGGACGTTGATTGAATTTACTGAATTGAATAAACTGGGTTTGGAGGGAATACATTGTTTTTATGGATGTAAATCATGTTTTTTGGTGATTCAGGTAGAAAGTCTTTTAGATGAAAATTAAATTGTTGGGTAGGTGGTGGAGAAATTATTTTGTGGGGTGTAATAGTACTTTATTTTGACGAAACTATGAAATTTTCAATGAAAAATTTATTTGTCTGGCGTGAAATTATTGATGCGACGATGAGAAGAACGAGTTTATTAACATGTAATATTTTTTTATTTGGATAAATAAAGCATTTATTCCAGGTAATTGTAATATTTTCAACGAAAATAATGTTGAAATGAATAGAAAAATTTCAAAGGGAGAATTTTACTTCATTCAACTTTGTAATTAAAATAATAATAGGTCATGAATGAAATGAAAATTTGAAGAGTCGTGGGCTCGACAGTGTATCGTAGTCACCCTCCGCATGCATGCGGGTAGAAGTTCAAAAAAACTGCAGTTAGCTCTCATTTAATTAGTCTCAAAAAAATAAAATTCAATAGAGGTAGAATTGCTCATAGTTGCGTTCATTACGCTCTTTACAATGATTGACGAACCCCTCGAATGAAATTACCCGGGAGTTTCGATCGTGATTAATGATTTATTCATTTTTTATTTTCAGCCATGGCGAGGACCTCATTGTTACGCCCTTCGCACAAATCCTCGCGTCACTGCGATCAGTCAGAAATAATTTCCTTTCCCTTACAAATGTACCTACGTCCAAGTGAGTGATCAATTTTTACCTCGATGTGGGGAATCGCGTGTTATGAGGGTGACCGGGGGGGTTAATGAGTTATCATTAATGATCTTTTTTTCTCCGTGAAGATCCCGGAGGAGCAGCGGAGCTCAAGGCGGAAATACACCACAGCCCCGGGCGATTACCCCCGGAGGTGAGAGAAAATCAAATATTAATGTTAAGTTGTCATTTTCAGTCGTCAATATCTCCTGACCCCATGAAGCGATTTACATGAGTCACGGCTCGTTTTGAAGTTTGAAGAAATACCTCGAGAATGAAAAAAAAAAATGGGGGAAATTCACTCTGCTGATCTCGAGTGATTGATGATTGAAGACGCTTTTAAGGGAACTCTTTTGGTTTTTTTAAAATTTAAAGAATAAAATTTAAAAGAATAAATTTAAAAAATAAATTTTCACGGGCTAATCAATCTAAAATTGGCAGTTTCAAAAAATTTTCAAAATTCCCTTTAAAAAAATTGCACCATTTCATATTGTGTGGAAAATTCAAGAAAACATTTGCCTGAATTTTCCTCATTATCATAAAAATCATCATTTAACCCCTCATTTAAACCCCCCCTTCATAAGGAAACATTTCAAGAGTCTCTTTTCTTAATTTAAAGATGAATCCTACATGAAACTCGCTGTAGAAACAATGGAGGAACTCGACTGGTGCTTGGACCAGTTAGAAACGATTCAGACCCACCGCTCAGTCTCAGATATGGCATCACTCAAGGTAACTCATCCCTCAGCTAGTCCACCCGAGAGAAAATTCGAAATAAAGGATGGAAAGAAAAAACTACTCATGAAGCTTCTGAATGACGTTTGACTCCTCAGTTTGATGCCCTTGAGTCGACGTGCATTCAGTGCTGAATGTAGGTCACCTGGCCAAGGGTCCATTCGAGCTTTCCCATCGTCGTGATGACGTAGCTCTCCCCCTCCCCCTCCCCTCGGCCCCTCCAAGAATTTTAAGCAACAAAAAGCCGAAACTAGAGAGGGGAAATCGATATTCATGTGTATCTTTCGTCCATAATATACTCAGTTCACTAGTGTTGCACGTGCAACAACTGTCTCGGATTAAATGATATTAATGTGGTGGTATAAATGCACAGGGGCTTGACAATTATCCACCAGACGACTGTCCATTTAATTGTCGTAGGGACGTGCATCTGAAATTATTTGTCTATTTGGCCATTGAAATGGGGGGAAGAGTTATCGAATTGAATTTTGATTTTAAAAGCCGGAAATTGAGGATCAAGGAGTGGATAGTGAATTTGAAAAATTTTAAATTACAGTTCAAGAGGATGCTCAATAAAGAACTGTCCCACTTCTCCGAGTCTTCCAAGTCTGGCAATCAAATATCTGAGTACATCTGCAGCACTTTCCTTGGTGAGTTGATAAATTTTTGAGAAATGTTAATGTGCAATTTATTATTTTTTTTCAATTTTTATCCGAAGCCAAGGGAAAAACATCTTATTCTTCACTTCGTCACGTTTTTTATAAATAAAAAATTTCTGTTTTCACTTTTTCCACATACTTTTGAGAGTTCTGAATAGCCCGTCGCTTAAACAGTTGGAATCAACGTTCACCCGGCTAAAAAATTCGATTTTGGCGAAAGTCGACTTTCCCCCGGGCAAAACGGAAAATTTGACCCTTTGAAAATCTGAAAAAAAAAACTTTTTCCGTTTTCACTTTTTCTACATCCTTTTGAGAGTTCTGAATAGCCCGTCGCTTAAACAGTTGGAATCAACGTTCACCCGGCTAAAAAATTCGATTTTGGCGAAAGTCGACTTTCCCCCGGGCAAAACGGAAAATTTGACCCTTTGAAAATCTGAAAAAAAAAAAATTTTCTGTTTTCACTTTTTCCACATACTTTTCAGAGTTCTGAATAGCCCGTCGCTTAAATAGTTGCAACCAACGTTCACCCGGCTAAAAAAATCGATTTTGGCGAACGTCGACTTTCCCCCGGGAAAAATCCAAGATCTGACACTTTGGCCCTAAAAATTTAATGGGGTCTTATTATTATTATTATTATTATTATTATTATTATTATTATTATTATTATTATTATTATTATCATCAAATAAGCAACAAGAAGTCACTCTGCGAATTACTTAAATTATTGTGCGATTTAATATTTTATGAATTTTTGTTCGAAATTTTACAAAATCATTCAATTCCTCGTCATGTACATTTTTTTTACAAAAAAAAAAAAATACCAGTTAAATTAGCGGTTTTGAATGCTACCAAATTTTCAATTAATTTTGTTTCCCTTGCACTCTTTTCTTTTTTTTCATCAATATTCAATCGTTCTGCGCCGAAAAAATTCACTTGACTCTGAATATTATTATTTATTTCAATAGATAAGCAACAAGAACTCGATCTGCCATCATTGAGAATTGAAGATGCTGTTGCTGCAACAAGTGCTGAAACAAGAACATCAAAGAAGAAAGAACGCACACAGCGTGGTCCCGCAGCAATGTCGCACATTAGCGGTGTAAAACGTCCTCTGACGCACACTAATAGTTTCACTGGTGAACGGGTACCAAATTATGGAGTTGAAACACCCCACGAGGAGCAACTGGGCAAGGTAAATCGATGGCAATTGCAATTTATAAATTTCTTTCAACTTGTACGTTGAAATAAAATACATGTAATTTCATCAGGAAATGAGAAACTCTGACTTATGAACTTGATATCGGAGTGATGTTTCAATCAAGAGCTGGAGGTTCTCTTTTCCTCTTTAGGAGATTGAGAATTTTCTTTCCAATCGCGGAGGAGCTCAACTTTTTTCAGTTCAATTTAATTTTTCTTCTTTGAGGAAAAAGAGGAAATAAACTGATGAAATACGCATTTTATAGATATCCTCTTTGCCTGGATTTTTTGTTATGACATTTTATTTTTATGAAGGCGTACAAAGGGCTTTTGAGACTGGGAAATTGGAAAAAAAACCCACGCATCGTTGTATTTTATAATTAAAATACCATGTTTCGTGATGAGAAAAAGCTGCAGCAGGAAAATAATGCGTGAACATTTTCTTTTCTACGTACACTTTATGGGTAATTCCGATGCAGCACGTGTATTGAACACTTGAACATTAAAATTTCCAAAAAGCGCACCAAAAATGTCAGTGGAAAATTTAGAACAGTGAGCCCCAATTGGTTCCCCCCAAAGCCGTGATTGATGATGAACGTCATTGGTTCTGTGATCCTCAGGTACTCTCGGATATCGACAAATGGGGAATAGACATATTCAGAATAGCCGAGCTCAGCAACAACCGACCATTGACCTGCGTGGCCTACACAGCATTTCAGAGTAGAGATCTACTGAAATCACTGGCAATACCACCAAAAACATTTGTCACATTTATGATGACACTTGAGGATCACTATGTCAAGGACAATCCCTTTCACAATAGCCTTCATGCAGCTGACGTCACACAATCGACGCACACGCTGCTCAATACACCGGCGCTAGAGGTAAATTACCCAGCTAATGTCTTCAATATTGATTTTTATTGTGATTTCAGCGGGCTGGCTTTGTATTTTATTCATGGGAAATTTTATTTGTTGCAGTCGGTTTTTACACCCCTTGAAATTACTGCGGCTCTGTTTGCTGCTACGATACATGACGTTGATCATCCGGGCCTCACCAATCAGTTCCTCATTAATTCAAGTGAGTCAGAAGTTGAAATTTGTAAATGATATAAATTCGGTAGCGAAGTGGTAAAACGGTACAAGTCAATTTTGACTATTGGCCAGTTTTCAATTAATATCTGGGAATCTGAGGGAGATTGCAAAACTTTTGTTATAATCTTTTTTGTGGAGCCGATTGAGAGAAACACACGTTGTCAAACAAGTCTTGACAGCAACGAAATATTTGGCTGAACAGACGGATAATTCACACCAGACGGTGCCTTTTCAGGATGAAAATATCTCATACCGAGGAAAATTTATCAACAAATATTTCATCCCTAAGTTACAAGATTGCTATCATATCATTATTATTGTTTCATTTAAGGGTTCATTTGTTGTCTGTGATTATTAGACAGCCGAACCGAAAATCTACTATCCCTTGTTTCGCATAAAACAAAGATTTTTCGGGAGCAAAATACGTTTCGAATAGCGAATTATCTTGCCTTCAGTACCTTTCATTGGAAAAATTGATGATTTCAGGCTCGGAACTGGCTCTCATGTACAACGACGAATCTGTCCTCGAGAATCACCACTTGGCAGTGGCATTCAAGCTACTGCAGAACGAGGGTTGTGACATATTTGCAAATATGACAAAAAAACAGCGTCAAACACTGCGAAAAATGGTCATAGACATGGTGTTATCGACTGACATGTCCAAACACATGTCTCTACTCGCCGATCTCAAGACCATGGTCGAGACAAAGAAAGTGGCAGGATCTGGTGTTCTACTTCTAGACAATTACACCGACAGAATTCAAGTGCTCGAGAATCTGGTGCACTGCGCCGATCTCTCGAACCCGACGAAACCACTCGACTTGTACAGGAAATGGGTTGCACTTCTCATGGAGGAGTTCTTCCTACAAGGGGATCGAGAGAGGGAGCAGAACATGGACATCAGCCCCATGTGCGACAGACACAGTGCAACAATCGAAAAATCCCAAGTTGGTTTCATCGATTACATAGTTCATCCTCTTTGGGAGACCTGGGCGGATCTAGTCCATCCTGACGCACAGGAGATTCTTGACACTCTTGAGGAGAACAGGGACTGGTATCAGTCCATGATACCACCGTCACCACCGCCTGATGACAGGAGTGGGGATCAGTCGTCGGATAGAATTCATTTTCAAGTAAAATTCAGCTTTTTTTGCGGTATTTCTGTCATACAAAAAACGCGTCATACACTGAGAGAAAAACAAACACGCTGTCAAACAAATATTGTTTGCGCCAACAAAATCGCTAGTTGACAATTGCCAAAAAAGAATTTATTTGGTTCGAATTTGAAAGTCTCAAACATGAATAATTGCTCTGCTTTCGACAGCAACGAAATATTTGGCTCGAGAGGCGGATAATTCACACCAGAGGGTGCCTTTTCGGAAGTTGATATTTTCCAGTGATTTTTTCATAAAATATTGAAATTTCAACAACGAACTTCCCTGAAATTTCATTAAAAAATGGATTTTCACTCTAAAAATGTCTTTAAAATGTTTATACATACATTGATATGAATTTTCAATTAACCGAAAATTTAAGAATACATTTACCAAAATTTTCTTCATTCCTATCAATTTTCACGGAATAATTGAACTGAAATCAACAATTTCCATCAATTTTTCCCAAAATATTAAAATTTCAACGCGAAAGTTCCTCGAAATTACAGAGGAACTATAATAAGTCTCCGTTTGAGTAAGACTAAGACGAAAAACTTTTGTTCGCAAAAATAGATTTGGTTACTTCGAAAAACCGATGTTTAGTCTCGAAAAATGCTTGTCTGTGGGAAAACAACATTTGCTCGTTGAAATTCCCTTCCCTCTCACCGTAATCTCTCCCTCAAGACATCTAAAATTCCAATGTATTAATTTAAATGTTCAGGTGACCCTGGAAGAAGGCGATGAATCAGGGGAAAACGTAGACGACAGTGGAACTGAAGCTGAGGGCGAAGCAGGCGACGCCTCCAACGATCCTGGAATGTGACGGAAATTGGCGGGTATTTGCAAAAAGCTCCATGAAAAATTTCAGCAAACCTGGTGGCGTGTACACCAGTAAATGCTTTTTTCCCTCTGCACGTCATTGCTTCACTAGGATTAATGACGATGTTTAAAAAATACTTTGATGCTGTCTCAAATGGTCGTTGAAGTGGGTAAAACTGTCGGCTGGACCGATCGACAAAAGCGACGTTAATTTGGAAAAAATGTCCTGTCGTGCACTGAAATCACTTGCGAATGCCGAAAAATGTAGAGAGAAGTAGGAAAAAAAAATGAGGTGGTCGGAGGGAGAATCTCAGATAAGTACCTGGAAGGTTTGGAAATTAATCAGAGAAGAAGGGGGAGATGTTTTAAGATTCTTAGTGTTTGAAATCGTCGGAATGTGAAAAGACGACATATCAAGCAGAAAAATAAAGAGAAATGAAATTGTTAGTACCTAATTCAGGTTGTTATGGATCTCAAGAATGGGAGAAGAATTGTTGCCATCGACTCAGAATTTCAATTATTTTGACGAGAAATTTTTGAGCTTTTTTTCGATTTTTCATGTTCTCGGAATGATTTACAACTTGAGGATAACGCTTGAGTCTTTTATATTAAGTATTGAATCTGTTGCAACAGAGCTGGCCTCTGTTAAGCTCGAATATATTTTTTTTTAGAGTAATTTCTTTGTTCACATTCAGTCGAGATATCAATTAGCCATGATTAAAGTTGTTTTAGACTTTGAAATCACGTACAATAATGATAACATTCAATTTTTTTAACCAAAGAGTAACGTTAACGTAGAATTTTCATTAATTTAATTTTTTCTCTCTCGTGTTTGTTTAGTTTTTATCGAATTGACTAGAGAATTACGTACGTTGAAAGTGATAAAAGTTATTAAAGTTCGTGTTTTTTGGGATAAATTTATTGCCATTGATACAATCATTCAGATACACAGGAATTACTTTCCATCCAGTATGCACGAATATCGATAGTATCTGGTATTTTTTTTTAATAATAAAATGGGAATGGAGCAGAAAACGTTGAGAAAACTGTTGAGTCGATGTGTTTGTATCGAAGGAGAAAAGATCACAAAAGTAAAGTGAACAAGACTCAAATCGTCTCGATTATGATATAAATAAATAGTGATAAATTTAATTGTACTATAGCTGACAAGTACGAGTGTGAAAATGAGATGAAAAAACAACCCAAGTCGTTTTAACTTCTGTAATTTGTGTCATAAATAGCGAGAAACAGTTTGAGTTGGTGAGATAACAAAATTTGATGAAAGAAAATAATAACCGAAATAAGGATGCAATGAGGAGTGAATGTGGATGTTTGGTGCTGGCCACCAAGTCTAGGGTACATTATTTAAGGTCTATAATTACGGATAGAAGTTAAACAACTAATTTATCAATGATGAAAGACATTAAACAATCCTCCAATGCATGAAGAATTAAAATAAGAAAGAAACAAAAATTACATATTTCTTTTCCTTTGGTTTTCGATGACTAATTTAATCATTTCTATCGATTGATTGACTACTTTCTTTCTTTTGAGTAATTGTACAAAAATGAATGAAAATATGAAGCGTTCCTCTTTGATTACTCGAGGCCTGGTGTGAAAAAAAACCAAATGAAACAAAAAATATACAAAAAAAAAATCCTTTTCCACTGATTTATAAAAAATGGTGATAAATTGGTAAATAAATTTGTAAACTATCAATTCTTGAATTAAGTTCCGGGTGCGCAGGGTATAAAAATGTGAAAAAAATAGAGATGAAAAAGCACCCGATGACTTTTTGATATAATTGTCGAGATAAAAGTGAGAAATTATTGTAAAAAAAATTAAGTGTCAAAAATTGAATCTAGAAAATTAGAGGAGTAATTCGACAAAAAATCACTGTATTTTCAAACAAAATGGAGGGAGCACTTTCGAAATTTTCAATTCTTCAAATTCCATTTAATTTTGTTACGCAAAAATTGCTTCGGTGGTAAAAAAAAAGCTTCATGAGTAAAGAAAAATGACGACGATTATTTACCAAGATGTATAACACTATTAAATCAACCAAGAAAGAAAAAACCAAAAAAAAGCATAAAAATGAAAAAAGGATTAAAAAAATACAAAACGTGTTTGATTGCTGGACAGTTAAATGACCATGTATTAATATCGTGTAACCTCGTACGAGATGTATGTCTATTAAAAACATATTTATTGTCGAAAAAATAGTGCCCGTCCCATTAATTGACGCATCATTTTCCCCATATTATTATCGAAAAGAGAATGGAATAAAAAAATCCTGATGTCGCATCTCATTCATCAATCATTCATCTAGCAGAAGAAATGGAAACAGAAAGCAGAAAATTCAACTCTATTCCACTTAGAATTAATCAATTTATTTTACAAAAAACCTGAGTCCTTAAGAATTAATTTCTTCTCGCCTTCATGCTGACTCTCTTATTTTTCCCAGGCCTCGCAGCCTTTCTAGCCATCTTCTTGACCTTTCCCCCTTTAGTCGGGAACTTGCTGGGTCTCTTCCACTCAGAGACATCAGCAGCACTTTCCCTGGTATTCAGCTTGCTCCCCCTCTTCTTCCCCCCAAACCCAAACTTGGAATTCTTCATCCTCGTCCTCTCCATCCCCTTTTTACCCCTCGAATTGACTTTATCTGATTGCCCCCTGCTCCCCGGCTTCTTCTTATCATCCAAGAAATCCAAATCCTTTCTGATTCCCTTTCTATACTTCTTGACCTCGTCCAACATCTTCTTCTTCTCCGCGTGTTTCTTCAGAGTCGCCTCGATCTGCATTTGCTTGCCCACCTTCCTCTGCTGACGCAACTGTCTGACCTTCTCAGATCGTTGGGCCGCGTGTTGCTTCCTCGCCAGATTCTCCCGAATCTTGTGCATGTGCTCGTCAGTCTTGACCATTTCTGCGAAGTAGTCGTCAGGGCGAATCGTGGGAATTCCGAATTTCTTGATTCTTGAGATGCCATCGACTACAGCTGCCTGGGCCTGACGATGGAACATGGTTTCTCGTTTGAAGTCGTTGACGACTGGGTCCTCCCCTGGTTTGTATTGAGGCAACTTCCTGTTCCCTTTTGCCAGTCGCATTCGACGATCCTCGGTGTCCTGCATTTGTAGCGCTAATTCAGGGGCCAGAGGCGCCGGGGGATTCACTATGTCCAGACGCTCCAGCCAAGCCAGCTTCAACTTCATTTCTTCGGTTTTTTTCTTCAGTTGGGCCTAGGGGACAAAAGAGTAGAAATTGAATGTTAATTACTGGGAATTAATTTATTCATTTGAGGCCAGGCTGGGTTATCTTTCGAACGTGCTCTTGATTGTTTTTTTTATTTTGATAATTTCAATAACTTGAATAAAAAATATTTCGTTCGTCATTTAAAAATTCATGTATTTTTTTTAACAATCAATAACCGAAATGCCAAACAAATGGGAATGTCGTTGAATAACTCCAACAAATTTCTCGAGCCAAAATTTAGCTCCAATCCTTATTTTAGTGGAGAGTGGGGTAAAATGGACACTTTTGACTTTTTTAAAAATATTCATAGCTCAGAAACAAATTGATCAATTGAGCTCAGTTTAGACTCGTCACAAAGGGAAAGAATTGTTCTTTGCACTGAAAAAAAAATTCACTAAATTTTATCAACATTTCAACCCCTCATTAGCATTTAAAAAAAGTCAAGTGTCCGTTATACCCCAACATCCCCTACACAAATGCTACATACTGCTGGGACAAAACTGCATATCAAACTACTCACCACATTATTCTTCCTGACCTTCTTCTCCGCTTCAATAATCGAGTTCAACCCAGGCTTCAACAAACCCTTGGCAAACGCCTCCTGCAGCTGTAACCCCAGAAAACACGTGAGTAAAATGAGGTTAACTCCACCAAAATTTTCTGCCGATCAACTTCAACACGATAATCCAACTAAATCCAACTCACCTCTTCATCTGACGATCCATACTCAGAATCCGACTCCGGGACAATCTTCTTCTTACTCTTCACCTTCTCTTTCTTCATTTTCATTATTAAGAAATGTTTACACTCTATCAAACTTCACAGCTCTCCACAGACATGCACAACACATCAAGTCGCACTCAGGTCGCACTGAAGCCGATGCTCGTAGCCAAATGCCCCCCACAATCCCCTGTTTTATCGACAGGTAAAATTGTTCACAAAAACGATTTGAAATAACATTCCCCCAATGGCTCACGAAATGATCGACGTCATTCCATTGCTCTCTGTCTTCTCAAATTACGAAATAACCCCAATTATTCATTCTGCGGGACCCGTCGCCATTCGTCTCATAAAAGAATAACTTTTATTTTAAAAAACCGACAAAAATGATTCTGAGGAACAATAAAACCACCTAAATTCCCCAATAAATCATCGATTAATTTGACCCGATAATGTAATGATAAATTTCCCCGAACGACCCCAAAAAATTGACATTCCATTGTTTATTTTTCTCCATCATCCATGTACACAAAGAGTGAAGTAGATTGAAGTGCGCAGAGGCAGAACATCTGCTGGTCTGCGTGTGAAAGCTCTTCCCCGGAGCGTAGGAAATTCTCCCCGAAATTGTCGATCGCAATCTCGAAAAATACGTGGACAAGTGAAACGGAAAACCGTCATTCACCGATCAGCTGCGGTTGATGGATCGCACGGTGGGACTTGAGGAAAAGCCAGAGAGTTTTTGAGCGGTGGATTGCGAAGCGGCTGTGAGGAAAAAGCTGTGACGAGCATCATGGCGGATAAGGAAACACAACCAATGTCACGATTACTCAAAATTGCCAACAAGTTCAACTGTTTTTACCTGTCAGGTAACAATTTTCGACATTATTCGTCATGCCTCTTTGAAATTGAATCCTCTATTCCCTAATCTGTCGTAATATTCGTGGTGGGGTGCGTGTGGTACGAAGGAGTGGTGAGATATTGATCTATGACTTGTTGTTGATTTTTTGTAACCAAAAATCATCAGAAGAGGCTTCATATTCTCCAGGCACTCCACGAGAATTCTTCTGGAATTAGAAATATTTTCTTTCCTGTTTGGGGCATGTGTTCTACGTCTTCACGTGGATTTCTTTCCATTTTCCTTGTGTAAAATAATTACGTGGCTAGAAAAAAAATGAAGGTCGCTTGACATATTTATGCTTTTACAAAACACGAATTTTTATGAATATTCTTGAAGTCGAGAGGAGTTATTAATATGAAATAGGGAGTTGGAATTTTTAAGAAACGAGTCAACACAATTGAGGTTTAAATCATGTTGATTTTAATTATGATGAGGATGGTATTCGCAGGACATGTAGAATGCAATTGACGATTATTCAAAATTCCAACAGTTCCACTGTTTTACCTGCCAGGTAAAGATTATCGACATTATTCGTCATGTCTCTCTGAAATTGACTCCTATATTTCCTAATCTGTCGTAATATTCGTGGAGGGGTGCGTGTGGTACGAAGGAGTGGTGATATATTAATCTATGACTTGTTGTTGATTTTTTGTAACCAAAAATCATCAGAAGAGGCTTCATATTCTGAAGGCACTCCAGGAGGATTCTTCTGCAATTAGAAATATTTTCTTTCCTGTTTGGGGCATGTGTTCTACGTCTTCACGTGGATTTCTTTCCATTTTCCTTGTGTAAAATAATTACGTTGCTAGAAAAAAAATGAAGGTCGCTTGACATATTTATGCTTTTACAAAATACGAATTTTCATAAATATTCTTGAAGTCGAGAGGAGTTATTAATACGAAATATAGAGTTGGCATTCTAATGCATCGAGTGAGCACAATCAAGGTTGAAGTCATGTTCGTGTAAAAATAGTAGTGGACGGAAATGTAGAATGCAATTTGGCACTGGTCATGGATCATTGGGCCATTCAGGAAGAGGGAATTGAATAAATCAACCAGATTAATTATTATCAGGCGTAATCAAGTCTGGGTTTGTTCGGGTAATTAGTTTGTGAAATTGTTTTTTAGGGTTCCATACAGGCAAATGCAGGGCATTTGTCGTCGATGGACAACAGGTGGGACTCGTTCGATCCGATGTGATGAAGGAATTGGTGAATTATCCACAAGTAATTACTCAAACAATTACATTGTAAAGAATGCTTTGACATTTTGTTTTATCAAGGAATTTCGTGATTGGAAATCCACTATTTTATGGAAAAGTTAATGGAAACTAAACTTTTTGAGTTATTCCAGTAAAATTAATGAAAATCAGGAAAATTCAGGCGAATATATTCTTGAATTTTCAATGAGTTTGAAATTTTAGGATTTTTTCCCCCTAAATAATAAAAAAAAAATTAATTCAACATCATCTTTAATATCTGTTCACGCCTTTTTTGGCTGAAAGTACACTTTTTTGAAATTTTTATGACATCTTAGTTCCACTGAAATTTTAGGGAATTTCGGAATTGAAAATTCAACATTTTATGCGAAAATCATTGGAAACTAAAATATAATTCAATTATTCCATGGAAATTCATAAAAATTCGCAAAACTCAGTTGAATATAGCCTTAATTAATTTTAAATTAATTGAAAATTCAAGTAAGTTAGAAAATTCTCATATTCCTGCTGCTGAAAAATTTTGGATGTCATTGAATTTTCAAGAAAATCTGAAATTTCATGATTTTCCTCCCCCTGAATCGAATTCAGTGTCAGTCTCTTAAAAACCACTAGTCAACTGTCATTTTTTCGAATAATGTATTATGAAATATGCGGATTTCCCATTGTTTTACTGGATTTTCTCAGGTATTCGAAATACAGCCAGACTATGTTCAACTCAATCCTGCGTTTCGTGAGTATGCTGAGAGGAGTGCGCGTATTGATGAGGTATTGAGGGAATGGAAGGCTAGTGGTAAATTTGTGACCCTCAGGGGATGGAGGGAAGAGCGTTATGCGGTTCGTGCTCAATTCAACACTAAACCTCTGTTGGAAATGGATCGTTCTGCGACTAGTGAGTATAATCATTCAGATCGCGTTACGTTTTTTTTATCTTTAAACTAATTAATAGAGAGGAAATGAATGAAAAATTGGACTGAATAAAATTAGAGTGACGATGTGACGATGTGACTGAGTATTCTATCATTACAATTAGCAAAAAACCACAACAATTACCAAAAAATAATTGATGGAGAGAAAATGAATACAGAAATTAAATTGAATAAAATTAGAGTATGAAAAAAAATGTTTTGAGTATTTCAAGAAAAAAAAATGAATCATGCATGAATGATAATTCCAGGCCTATTTGGAATAAGAAAATATGGAGTAGACATCAATGGCTACGTGATGGATCCAGTAAAAGGCTTATCAATTTGGCTCCAAAAACGTAGTCCCACCAAACAAACATGGCCTGGCTACTGGGACAACATGATCAGTGGAGGTCTGAGTGTGGGCTTTGGTATTAATGAAACAGCTATCAAGGAAGCTGGTGAGGAGGGTAGCATTCCAACTAGTTTACTCGCTAATCTGAAGAGTACTGGCTGTGTGTCACTCTTCTTCGAGAGTGAAAGAGGCCTATTTCCCAATACCGAGTTCGTTTTCGATCTTGAATTACCACCGGATTTTGTGCCAAGCAATAGTGATGGTGAAGTCGAGATGTTTGAGTTATTGCCAGTTAACGAATGCATCGAGAGGATACTCTCTCCACATTTCAAGACTACATCGATTCCAGTTGCACTTGATTTTTTGATCAGACATGGATACATCACTCCTGAAAATGGTGAGTTTCTTATGGTTCAGGCGCACTGTTGAGGAAAATGGAAAATTTCAGGGACAGTTGATTGGTAATTTTTGGGAGAGTGGCGTGGAATTTCATTTTGGGGGAAGGAAATCATGGAATTTCGGATTTTAGGAGAAATTTTCAAGCGAATGTTGATATCAAATACCCTCGCCAGTATCAAATTTTGCTTGAGACTTAATGAATTAAAAAGTAAGAATATATTTGCTTAAATTTTCCTGACTTCTGTGAAGTTTCGTGGAATAATTGAACTGAATTCGATAGTTTTCGTTGATTTTCCATAAAACGTTGAATTTTCAAAGACAAAATCCCTTGAAATTTAAATGAAACTGAAATGTGACTAAAATTTCCAAAGAGTTTGGAAAATTTCAGCGAAAGATTTTTAATAGTACTGAAATTCAATGAAATTCTAAAGTTTAGAGTGGCAAAAATACCGCAATAATACCAAATTACACAGAAATTTCAAGTAATTGAAAATTCAAAAATATATTTACATGCAATTTCTTGATTTTAATTTCTGAAATTCCTTGAAATCTCATTGGAACTGGAATATTCCAAAAATTTCCAAAAAGTGTACCAGAAATTTCAGACAAAGAATTTCAAAACTAGATCTCAACCATGATGTTCACTAAATTATTATTAATTATTTTCAGAGCCAAATTTTTTAGAAATCGTGGAGCTTCTTCATGTTCCCCTGCAAACAATGTACAGTTATGTGCATAAATCGAAGCCTAACAAAATTGCTGCCAATGGTGAGACTAATGACGCTCTGTAATGAGTGGAACGACCCTAACGAATGAAAATACTAGAGTCTCATTTCAAGTGTTCGAGAGTAATTAATTGAATTCTTTTTTCAGCCAATGAGCTTGAATTAAATTATTCCCCAATTGATAAACAAATTGGGTTAATTGATATTGATTTGTGTGGAGGAAATTGTAGTTATGTGATTCAAGTTTTAATAATTCTGTTTAAATAGTTGAAATGGGGATGGAGTGAGAGCTTTTCATACACAATACTTCCAGCTATTTTTTAAAAAAACGTCCAAGTGGTCTAGGTTCTTTACCCACTCGTGACGTTTTAAAGTTAGAAATGACGAAGAATTGATGGAGAGAGGTGTAAACATTCCAAAAATCAAACTCAAATACTCCCTTTGCTTTTTCATTCATGTTTAATGGAACAAAGAGGATAATTATATTATTTCAAAGCACAAAACCATTATTTGTACTTAATTTTTTTACGTGACTGAGTATTCTATCGTTACGGTATTAATCTATGGAATTACTTATTTATTGTTACATCAATTTAAAAAAAAAGCAAATACAAAACAAAATGTGAAATTTTGTTCCATTTTAAATTTCAGTATTTGTTGATTCTTCAGTGATAAATGTAATAATTCTGATAATTTTTATCACCGACTGAATAAAAATCATTTGAAAATAATAAGCATCAAAATCAACGAAATAGCCATCACAATTGTTACATTTATTCCCTTAAAAACGACGAAGTGAAATTGCTATTGACGTTCGTAAGGTGCTTAGCGTTTACAATATTGAATAGAAAAAAAGATTGCATCGATTTAGTACTTTTGTAAGATGACAAAGGGATTTACAAATTTGTGCTAGTCATCGTTTTTTCGAATATTGTATTTTAGATTCTTGATTAAAAGGTAAGAAAAAATTTGTTAATTTCACATTCTAGTTTTATTCTCCCTCCCACACTTTTTTCAAAATAACGAGAGAGTTTTCATGAGACTGTGGGGACCCTAGGCAGGCCCTGGTGGTCGCCATTTTGTCCCCAGTTCAGTGGACACCTAACCTTAATCCTGAGTCCACGTGCAAAATAACAATTTCATTTTGTTCGGAGTGTTGAGTTATTTTTTTATTGAAAAATGGGTAAGAAGTCGCTCAAACGAAAGAAGGAGATCGAGAAAGTGAATCAAGGAAAACCTGAGGACGAGGCTGAAGTCATTCCTCCCAAGAGGTCCTCAGATGAGCCACCAGTCAAAAGGGTTAGTTGTTTCATCCCATACCCAGAGAAATTGTTCATTATTTAATTTAAATAATGGGTTTATTCTAATAGTTTTTGTGTGCGTTTTTTAATTCACACAAAATTAGTTTTTTCAACGTAATCAAGTGGCGAAATTGGGATTTTCTTAATTAGAATTATTGTTTAGGCGATAATAATCCTTCATCCATCTTATTCGCAATGAATTATTTATTCTCTGTAATTTCACAACATTTTCGTTAATTTCCAATGAAATATTGTTGAGATGAAGGGAAAATGGGAAATAAGTAGTTTTATGTGATTTAAATTCGTCTGTTGAGAGATCAATTAAGCCAATAATCAATTAAACTGAAAATGAAATGCAACAATAGAAATTGACGATTTTCAATCGCCCATAACTCGAGATCGGCAGAGTGAAATTACAATTTTTTTTTTCATTTCAAAGCTCTCTTCAAAGACTTCAAAATGAGATCTGACTTGTTCAAATCGTATCGTTTGTTCAGGAGATATTGATGACCGAATGGGTATGATTCTATTTCACCTACTCCTTTGCTTGCAGGAAAAATGGACGAATCGACAAAGAGTCTTGGTGTTCGCATCCAGAGGAATAAATCATCGAGATCGTCACTTGATGGAGGATTTGAAGTCCCTCATGCCGCATCACCGAACAGAAGCGAAAATGGAGAGGCAGAAGAACCTGCAGGTTGTCAACGAGATTTGCGAAGCCAAAAATTGCAACAAAGCTGTTTTATTCGAAGGGAGAAAGAAGAGGGATCTTTACATGTGGTTTTCCAACGCTGGAAGTGGTCCTTCTGTCAAATTTCTAGTTGAAAATAGTAAGTGAATGTTCAAATCCCTTGTGATTCGCCCAATTTTTTTTTACTCAGTTTTATTTAATTTATCATTTCTTGTCACTACTATTTATATTTAATGTAACCCCTTAAAACTTTATCTTGTTGTTTTTATTATTTTGATAATCTGAAATGATCTCAGTTTTACATAGCCCTGGAGTTTTCAAATATATAGGGACTCCTGCGTGATATAAAATCCAATGGAAATCGTGATGTTTTCCATTATGAAGATGGAAAAACAGTCGAGATAACGTTCGAAAGATAATCCACCCGGGCCTCAATACAAAAATATCATCTTGTTCATTTCTTGTTACTATGAGTTATATTAAATGAAAAACCTATATCTTTGCAGTTTATACAATGGGAGAATTGAAACTGACAGGCAATTGTCTCAAAGGATCTCGTCCAATTCTCTCCTTCGACGAGAATTTCTCCACGAACCCTCATTATGCCCTTCTGCGAGAATTATTCACTCAGATATTTGGTGTGCCCAATCATCACCCCAAGAGCAAGCCATTCTTCGACCACGTCTACACATTCAGCGTTCTGGACAACAGAATATGGTTCAGAAACTTCCAGATACTGACTGAGGATGGGGGACTGGCGGAGATTGGCCCCAGATTCGTTCTGAATCCTGTGAAAATATTTGCTGGAAGTTTTGGGGGGGAAACACTGTGGGACAATCCCTTCTACATATCCCCAGCGAAGTATCGTCAAGCCATAAACAAAAAGGCTGGTGGAAAGTACATAAACAGGATTGAGCAGAAGATGGCACAGCAGGCTAATAAGCCTGAGGTCTCGTATGCGTTGAACCCACTGGATGAGATATTCAAGGGGGAACCCCTGGAGAAGGCTAAGGAGCTCGAGGAGGGGGAGGCAGATGAGCCACAGACGAGCGAAAAAGCTGGGGAGAAGAGTAAGGGAGTTGTCGATCCTTTCGAGGGGAAATCCACAGCGGAAATCAAGGATCTGGAGAAGAGAGCTGTGAGGAACTTTCAAAAAATGTCCAAGAAGGCGACGAAATCCAAAACTCTGGGGTCCAAGGTGACGAAGAAGAGGAAAGGGGGGAAGAATAAAATTGCGAAATGAAGTTGTATTTTAGATATTTGAATAAAGAAGGTGTTTTGCATTTCTGTCATGTTCTGAAGTTTAAGTAATTTAGAGGGTTTTTCAAGGGGCATTTTTTTTCTGTAGCCTCTGGGGAAATACTGATATTTCCCTTCAATTCTGAATAAAACTTTGCTGCAAGTCCGAGGGAAGAATCAAGTTCGGAAGTGAATTTGTCTTAGATATTCGAATAAAAAAGGTATTTTTAAAGTTTTCAAATTCGAACCAAACAAATTCTTTTTTGGCAATTTTCAACTAGCGATTTTGTTGGTCCAAACAAGAGTTTTTTGACGTCCTTTTCTCGCAGTGTAGACGCAGTCTTATGCCAAGTGTTCGTTTTTATAAACTTCAAATTGCTGTTCTTCTGCTTCAACTAGTCAATTTAATTACACAAATAGAAAAGACCAAAGTCAATGAAATTTCATATATAAAAAAACAAAAGTTTCCTACTTTACCAACTTGCGTCGCTCGCCATGTGCCCATGTGCTTCCGGTATGTTTCGTCCCTCTGCTCCATCTTCATTCTGACGCGAGTGTTTGTAGCAAGTCCAAACACCCAGAGTTCCCCAGGACCCCATCATGCAGGCTTCAGCCTCAATCATTCATCCCGACGATTACTAAACCCAGTAGTCACCAGGAGCCATCCCTTCGGAGATGGCTGCCACGCAGAATTTCAACGCGGTAAGCAAAACTCTGATTCTAACCTCAAACCTTACATAATTGCTCCAAAACTCGCTCTGAAGAACTTTCTTCTACATTTCCCACGCAACAAACACTTGTCTAATGAAAAATGCGTGTTTCAATACTAAACATAACATTTCCACGACAGAATGACCTCATTTTTCGATGCACTTGATGTTTTGCCCATCAAGACCTTGTCGACAGGAATTGTCGTATTCACACTTGTAAATGTTCAATTGGTTGTGTGCAATTCGACAGGTATTATTTGAGCATGTGGAATTTCAGAAAAACGTTAACAGCAAATAAACTCTTCTATCGGTCCGCGAGCTTATTGTTTATTCTCATTACCATTATCACTATATTAATATGATTATTATATTCCGAATTGGGCCAGGCGGGGTAAAATGAATTATTAACCAAATGGTATTATTTTTATTTCACGAAAAGTAAATTGCGAGCCGAATTGATGATTTTTTTTCTGAACGACACATTGAAAAACTACTCAGAAGTCCATTTTGCCCCACCCTGCTGAATCCCACTATAGACTAGCTGTCGTATCCAATTAATAAATGAATAAATAGATGAGCGAATGATAAATTTCTCTTCAGCATAACGAAGACATGGAGATCGGTCTGTTGGACGACACAATCGATCCCGACGTAGAGGCTCGACTCTACGGTGAAATCTACTATTCCAATGACACATATCCAGACCAACCAGGGATTCTGGAGCCCCCCACGCCCCTCAACGAGGTTGAGCCCTCGGATTCGAGCGCTCGAGACAGTCCCCAGTGTACGAAGGACCCCCAGCCAGGCCAGAGCAGGAGTCCAGGCTTGTGCCCTCCCCAGGACTCCCCCCCAGAGGCTCCCCAGTACTTTAACAGAAAAAAACACAGAGCATTGATTGATGGTCCCCTCGAGTTTCCCCACCCCTTCAGTTTCCCCAGGCCTTTTCCAATGGACAAGGGCCACCCCAGGGGCCCAAGGACCCACGATTCCTCCCAGAGGGCGAATAGGAACGACTATCCTAGGGAAAATCACAGGAGACGAGACCCCAATCCCTCCCATAGGCCAAGAAAATCAAGAGAGTCGCCCTGGAGGGAGAATCCTGGTCGAGAGGAGGTGATGGAGGAAGACGGAGAGCCCGACAGCACCTCGTTGATAGCTCTAGACGAGGCGATGACTCCACCGGAGGTCACGACCCCAAAACCCGCGGAACTCCTTCGAAATAATTCGAAATCCCCCGATGAGGCGCCCCAGGAGACCTCCAACGCCTCCTCACCTCCACCCAAGGACGAGGAGGAAGCGCCTGTCAATTCTAAGTACAAAGTCCTGGGGAAAAAGTCGACTAAAAAAATTCTTCAACTTGTGACTGAAATCTCCGACTCTGATGATTCCATTCTGGAAGTTCCAGTGCCTCCGAAACCCACTCCACCGTTGATCAGCCTTCAAGACTCCGATGAGGAGTCCAGCAGTGAGGAAGAGTCCTCAGTGGTGATGGATAAATCAGACAGGTATGGTTCTCATTTTTTATTTTGATGTTGAAATTCGGAAAATTATTGAATAATTGCTGTTTTTGGAGTTTATTAGCACGACAGTAATTAATTTTGCGTTCTACAAATGCGTTTTCGAAATTGTAAAACATTGGTTCACATTCAGAATTAAAATTTTCGTTAGTTATTTATGAGAAGGGAATGTTTAGAAAACGATTCATTGCAAATTGTAATTTTAATGGGTTTAATTTGATTGTGAATTCGATTATTCATTTCGAACTAAAAATTCAAAGAATAATTTACTAATTGCACTTTTTCCAAATGACGATCTTCTTTTCTAAATGATTTTTTCTAATTTTATGATTAATAAACAATTAATTTTTCACCCTAAAAATTATTCAGGATTTAAATGCTCGTCAATTATTCATGGGAAGAGAATATTTTAGAAACCCACTGTAGCAATTAAAAGGCGACTGATTCGAATGAAAATTTCTGTAAAAACTACTTCGATATTTTTGATAATATTCAATAGTTCATGGAATTGAATTGATTAATTTCTTTAAACTTCCAGAACCAGTTCTCGTGCCAAAGATTCTTCGTCAGAGTCTTCTCGCTCGTCATCTCCGGAGATAATTGAGGACTCTGATGACACGAGGGACAGTTCAGGGACACATGAGGGAGTTAATCTCATCTTAAACTGCACTAGGGTCCAAAAGGGTGTGTCGAGTCTTGCGGAGATCAAGCGGATGCGGGAGAGTGAGGGAAAGAGTGTTGTCGAGCAAATTGATGAGGAGAGTATGACGGAGAGTGAAGCCATGAACTGGGGCTCGCTGGAGGGAGAGATGGAGAAGAGTCAGGGTGAGACACTGAAGCAATTGTGGCAGGAGTTCTCTGAGGAGGGAGACCTGAGGAGAAATTTTCTGGACGAGTCTGGGTCTTCAGGAAAGCCCAGTGAAGAGGCCTCGAGGGTTTCCTTGGAGAAAACAGCGAACGAAAAATCGAAAGAGGATGGGAGCAGGAGGGAGAAGGGAGCTGGGGAAAAATCGAAAGAGGTTGAGGGCAGGCGGGATACCCCGAGGAAGAGAGCCCTTGATGGGAGGACCGATGGGGAGACGCCCAGGAAGAGGACGAGGCAGAAGGAGAATCAGGATAAGGAGATCAGCTTCGAGGAGTATTTGCTCCAACCGATGCCTAAACAGCTGAGGGACTTTTACAATGAACCCAGGGGCGGGGATATAATGAGGGATATCAGGGAGATACAGAATGACATGCCCAGTAAGTTTTTTTGGAAATGTTTAGAAGACTAGGCTTTTAAATTTTGAGGAATTTTATTATTGAAAATTCATAATTTCGTGGAAAAATCCGTGGGAACTGTAAATTTTGAAAATTCATGTAAATTGTGACATTTCCGTCTTCCTGCCGATAAAAAATTGAGACTTTACTTGAAATTTCACAGAAACTTCAAATTTCATTAACGTTTCCCCCTTAAATCGAATTCAAGGTCTTTGTCCAGAAAATTGTGTAATGCTTTTCAACATTTTTCCTGAAATATCAAATTTTTTAATTTGCAATGATTTTATTATTTATTTGAAGGTCTAGAATTTTTGGAAATCGGAGCCTTTCTCGAATAATTTACAAACAATACATTTTCCACTTGAGAAATTTTCAGAATTCCCATTTCCATTATTTCCTCATGAGAAAGAAAAGTTTAAAAAATGGAACTCATCAAAATGAATTCATTTTGCAATTTTTTTTCATACAATTTAGTTGACAAATATAATGACTGAAAATCACAGTGCAAAATACTTGAAAATCCTGCAAAATATTCAGGTTTTCATGAAATTAAATTCATTAATTTATTTCATTCATTAATTTATTACTTAGAAAATCCGAGTCGGTGGATGGTTTTGGATTCAGACATATATCCATTGCACCGAAAGAAACACAGTGTGTGCTCAATCTGCCAACGTGAGGGTCATGTACGCAGCAGATGTCCAAACAGGCCAAGAGCTCCCACTTGTCACATCTGCGGGGTTGTGGGCCACTCGGAACCCCGGTGTCCTGAGAACAAAAAATGCATCAGTGTGAGTTGCCTTATTTTCTGTTTTCTAATATTCTCGAGACTGTTTAGATGTTCATCTAAAATTAAATTTGACATTCCAGTGTGGCAAGAAATACTCAACCTGCAGAACAACGTGTGAGCACTGCATTCGTCTTCGGTGCAGCCAGTGCAGTGGACGGGGTCACACTCTAGCTAATTGTCCAGACAATTGGCGAAAATATCATCAAACGGTAAATAATGTAGACTGGTAGAGAAGAATATTTCTCAACAAGTTTGACTGTGTGATTACCAAAGTCCAAATATTTTGTGCAGAATTTTTGTAGTTTTTTTTTTTGTAAATGTCGACCATTTTAGCCTCGAAAAATGGCTGATCCTAAGCAAGAATTCAATGTCTACAAATGTGTACAAATTCATATTTTGTGTTCAGATGAATGAATTTGTATTTTGGTAATCACCTGTTGGTTTTTAATTCTATAATTTAATTCTATTCAATAGACCAATTTTTAAGCGTGGCAAAAAATTTCTTCAGAATTTCTCTCAATTAAAATTCCGACAGACGCGCAGATTCACAATATTTACAAGATGACTCTTTTGTTGACCCACCACCTCAGGCATTCAAATCAAGCGACAGAAATCATTGGAATTTTCTATTAGAAAAAAATCTATTAGAAAAATATACTGGGTCATATTTTACTATAATGTAGTATATTGCAGTGATGCATTATATTTTTTTATAATATATTATGTATTATAAAAGCATGGCATTATGCTGTTACCCTACAGCCCAATATTTTCTCATGATCTACTAGAGTAAAAAAAAATATCTTGAATTGTTCAGTAAGATATTTCTGTCTAAAAGTTGACCTCAAAATATGATAGACGTTGAAATTTTTTTCCTGAAAGTTTGGGTGCACTTCGGGAAAATTTTTAGGCCGTGACTATTCGCACCATTGCGTGAATCACTCCCGTACACTCCATACACTCCACGCATGCGTGAAGTTTGTGTGTTTCACGCAGCCGAATTTTCATACTGCTGTGTATTTCACGCAGTTGAAGTTT